CCCCTGGAAGCGGGAGCCCGCGTCTCTCGCGCCGGCCGTACGCGGCGCCGGCCGGTATCGCTTGGGTGCAGCTGTGGAGCTCAGGCTGGGGAAACCCAACCGCGAGGGTCTGACTCTGCCAAGGAAAGCTTACGTCTTTCTCCTGTGTGTTTGTGTTCGTAGCGTACACTGACGTTTATCTAATGACTTGTGTCGACGTGCTCTGCAAAAAATGTTTTTTTGAGGCTGAGAGAGCTGTTCAGCCTGGAGAAGAGAAGACTCCGGGGCGATCTCATAGCAGCCTTCCAGTACCTAAAGGGGGCCTACAGGAAAGCCGGAGAGGGACTTTTTACAAGGGCGTGTAGTGATAGGACAAGGGGCAATGGATTTAAACTGAAAGAGGGCAGATTTAGATTGGATATAAGGAAGAAATTTTTCACTCAGAGGATGGTGAGGCACTGGAACAGATTGTCCAGAGAAGCTGTAGATGCCCCATCCCTGGAAGTGTTAAAGGCCAGGTTGGGTGAGGCTTTGGGCAACCTGGTGTAGTGGAGGGTTTCACTGCCCATGGCAGGGGGGTTGGAACTAGATGATCTTTGGGGTCCCTTCCAACCCAAACCATTCTATGATTCTATAATCCAGTTGTTTAGCCTGTTACAGGTTTCCCGGTGTGCTGTTGCCAGACCAGGATGTCCTTGCAGACAGGATGTTCTTAAATTAGCAGAACTTGAGCTTGTCCAGGGTATTGTGCGCCTCTTATCCCTTAGACTGTTTTATTTTACATTTCATGTAAGTGTTGCACTTTCACCATGTTATGTGGTGCATATATGCTTATTGCTGGGGGCTTGCTGTCACACTTGCTGTAATAGTTTGGTTTCATGGTCCAGCAACATGAATTTCCCAGCCTTGTCTAAATAGTTACATTCCAAACGATATTTTGAAAATTATGAGCGGTGTTTGTCGGATGTAAACTCAAAACACCTGATGTGCTCCATGCATTTTTAGATGTAGTTTTGAGGCAGTTTGAACCCATAAGAAATTTTATTTATAGTTTCAGAGCTTCAGTGTCAATTATATTAAAATATTCCTCTGTGTCAGAGACACAAGCATAGGACAGTCAGCAATTAATTTATTATGGATCAGAATCAGTTTGATTGACTCACTTTAATTGGAGTTTCAGGCCTTTGTCTTGCAGACACTTCTGTCTAACTTGCCTGATGCGTATGATTAGGGTTTTGGGATAGTTCAGGTTGGAAGGGACCTGAGGAGGTCTCTAGGCCAGCCTCCTGGTCAAAATAGGTCAGCTGTGAGGTCAAATAAGATTGCACAGGGCTTTATCCTATCAGGCCTTGAAAACCTCCAAGGATGGAGACTGCACAGTGCCTCTGGGCAACCTCTTCTGCTGTCTTACTGGTCTCATACTGAAAATGGTTTTCCTTATATCGAGTCTGAAGCTTCTTTTTCATTCAGCTTCCACCTGTTGCCTCTTGGCCTCCTACCATGCACTGCTATGAACAGCCTGGCTCCAACTTTAAGCTCTAACCAATTCTAGAAGTCTGACTTCCGTCAGTTTAGTGTCTTGATTGGAAATCCTTGAATGCTGTGTCATACAGAACCTGAGCTTGTAAATGCGACTTTGCTTTGCTTTACTTGCTTTAAAACTTACTTTGAAGATCACCTCTTGAAGACTTGCTGGTTTTGATATTTGTTCTTTTGCTGGAATGTTCTTCTGAAAACTGCTCCAGGTCCTAAGAAGCTTCTCACATGTTTAAAAAATTATATATATTTGAAGGAGTAGGCTGGTTGACAGTGCCCTGACTGGCAGTCAGTGTATTTTACTGGGTCTTTACAAGTGTGTGAGATGACTCAGGTGACTGGCTTTTTTCCCTAATAGAATGAATTTAAAAAAAATGAGTAAAGAAACCTGTTTAGAATAGTTAAACCACAACGAAAACTTTATGAAAATAAATTATTTCTAGTATTTGTAATGTTTTTTGAAAGATGAGTCAAAACTGAAGTTTAAAGAGCTGGTTTGCTGAAACTTTGCTGGAAGAGCACCTCCTTGTGATATAGTGAAGATAAACATGAAGGCTATCAGTAAAACGAGGGACGTAATGCTTATTTTTATTAAGCACATTACTGCCAAAAGAGCTTAGCTTATGATTGAATTAGCGATCAGAAGTTTCTGTTAATTTGCAATAAATTTAATTGCCCCAACTTAGACTCTTTGAGTGTTCTTTTATTTCTGTTTGTTTAAATGTCTGTTGAAGTTGCATTGACGTTTCTGAATAGGCCTTCGAAGGGCTTTAAATTGGGTTCTTAGATCTGTGGCTTAACTGGAAGGGTTCTTATAGCAAATGGAAAATTACAAAGTTATGCCCTGTTTTTCCTTGCACCTTTTTTTTTCAGACTTCAGTCTGCTTAAGCGTTTGGTAATTTTTACAAATGTCAGTGATCAAGCTACCTCAGTCCTTGTCCTTTCCACCTCTATTCTCTGTTACCAAAAGCAAATTCCTCCAGTTTTGGGGACCTGGGAGGTGGAATGTTACAAATTTCAAATTTAAACAGGAAGGGAGTAAATTATAAAGCATGTTTCATTTAGACCAGAAAAGTCTCTGAAATGGGATAATTGCTTTGGTGAGAATTTAGATAGCTCATTTGGATATAAGATGCTCCAAAAGAGGTCGAAGTACAGAATGTGTTAAAATGCTCAGTATCTTTTTACTTATCCAGAATGGTTCTGATGCAGTTTATGAAGAGACATTAGTGTCCTGTTTAGTGTGTGTGTAGATCAGTTACTTCAAAAAACCAAAAAGGATATTTGCTTCTAGTGCATGTTCTCAGACTGCTCCTTGATATTGTGAATTTTTGGCTTTTAGCTTCTAGAACAGAACACTGTTCATTCCTAAGCCTCTTCACTAAATATGATTGATTTATTGGTGGTTAATCTACAAAGATTTGGGATTCTAATCAGGAATGGAACTAGTCTTTTTCCTCTTGATTTTCAATTTATTCCCTTTCTCACCCCACCTCTCTCTCTTTGTGTCTCTTTTTTTTTTTTTTTTATTAAAGGAAACACTGAGGAGGCTGGAAGGCTACTGGGCAGCAAGAATGTCCGTGTCAATTGCTTGGATGAGGTACAGCAAAACTGTACAAGGATTATGCTGGGTTTAGCAAGGAAAATACTAGGTCTGAAGACTGCCTTGTTGTTAAATAACATTGCTATACAGATTCCTGGTAATCAGTTATTCTGAAGATATTTTTAGCCTGCAGCAGAATAATGAACCTTTGAAGAGCTCTTAACATTGTTTGGGTTTTTTTTTAAAGAAAATTTAAAGATTAATGTTACATAAAGTACTACACTGTTTGTATTTTCTCTCAAGTTCTAGCATGAGATTTGGTGTCTGTAAGGTAAGATGCACACTGCAGCAATACGCACGGGAATGCTCCCTTACTTCTTGTCACCTCCACCAAACTGTAGTCCCTCTGCTTAGGTAGCAGCAGACAGCGTGGATGAAGAAAACCTGTCCCCATCTCACACCCGCATCTCATCGCCCAAAGCCTTATCTTTGCAGAACCGTAAACACGCTCAGTGAGCAGCTAGGTCAGAAGTGGAAAACACTGTCTTTTGCAGAGGCAGATGTTATAGACATGTAGAAGGTAAAATCCTTAAGTGCTACCTGAAGACGGGAGGATGTTCGTGGAGAAAGGAACCTTGTGTGATGTCCATATCTGTTTCCTCTTTTTCTTTTTACAGTGGTTTTCTAAAGCATGCAACATTAATGTGAAGTGTAACATGGAAGCAAAACTGTAACTGTAATTGGCCAGCCTGCAATTTTCATCACTGTGTAATTTATCAATTTAAATGTCAATTGTGTTTCTTCTTAACTTCACCATTTCTTAGGACCCCTGGGAAATTTAGGCTAGAAGAGACCTTCTGAGGTCTCTAGTGCAGCCGCCCACTCAAAGCAGCTTCAGCTCTGAGGTCAGATGAGGTTGCTCTGAGCTTTATCCTGTCTGGCCTTGTAAATCTCCAGGAATGGAGACTGCACAGTATTTCTGGGCAACTTGTTCCACTGCCTTACTGTGCTTAGGGTGAAAATGTTTCTTCCTTATATCTGAACCTCTATTTCAGCTTAACCTCGTTGTGTCGTGCCCTCCTGCCACCATAGCTCTATGTTCTCAATGAATTTGGCTCTATCTTCTCAGTGATCTTCCTGTGGGCACCAGCAGGCTGCTCTTGGGTCCCACCAAGGCCATCTCTTCTCTAGGCTGAAAAAGCCGAGTTCCTGCAGCCTCTCTTCACTGCACAAGTACTAAGGTTCCCACCATGTCTTGGTGGTACTTCACTGAACTCACTGCAGTTTATCCATGTCTTTATTGTACTGGAAGGCCCAGAATCGGACAGGATATTGTAGATGTGGTCTCATGACTGCCGAATAGAGGAAAATTATAACTTCATGTACCGGCTATCTTCCTGGAATATTGTTAGCCTTTTTTGTGCTGCTAACAGATCCATTTTCTGATTATTCTTAAATGTAGGTAAATATTTAAACAATAATTTCTAATGTATGAGTTTCAACAAGCTTCTGACAAACTTCAACAGCTTTGCAGTAAACTTTAGGAAGACAAGATACAATATAAGTGTGTTTGCAACTGTGCTTTGTTATATGGACTTTAAAAGCTTTTATTTTAGTGTAATTGCTGAGCTGGTGCTGAATGACCGCACCCTCGATGCAGTGTTAGAGCAACGTGCAGGATTACTGTTTAGAAGATACGGTTTATTAGTAGAAACCAGAACTGAGTTGTGCCTCAGGCTATTGTTAAAGAAGAAATAGTATTAACAACACTTGCCTAATGCTCGCATCTGACTAAATACACCCAAGGCACATAAGGCTTAGACAGGTCATGTGATGGGCTCCTCACGGTCTCCCCTTTGTCCCCCAGAGCGATGTGTAATGATACATACCAAACAGGAAAGGGCTCAGATCTGTTTAGGATTCTTAATCCTTTAGTCATCTCGCGTCAACTTCAGAATTTTTCTATTATAAACTGTTTTCCCTCTGATGTGTTATTCTAATATCTGTACATAAATAGAGTATGTGAAACCCCAGTTAAACATTAGCTTCATTTGTTGTTCAGTGTCACCACAACGGGAGACTACTTTGAATGCATCAGGTCCTGTTTTCTTCTGCTGCTGTCTTTTCATATTTATATAAATTTATATTACCACTATTTATGTTACTACTGTTGTTTTATTAATGTTAAGAAATGAGGAAACAGCCCTGAAAATTGAATACTTAGATACTGAAATGGGAGCACAATTCAGTTGGGAAATAAGAACTCATTTCCTTCCTTACAGTCCTTTTTACATGAGAGAATCCACAGAACGAGCACAGGTTTAATGTAATTCTCTCTTCTATTTGTGGTACAGCAAATACACAGTCACAACTTAATAATTTCCACAGGGTGGAGAATCCACAGCATCCAGGAGCAGGCAGTTATATCTTGCACTTCATGATTTAAGAAAATAGGCATGAGATGGCCCTTTAAATTTTTAGTTTGACCCTATATTCTAACTGCTTAGATCTGCTTTCTTTTAGATTAAAAACTACTGATAATCAGCCGTCTTTTCTCTGGGTACCTTTAGACGAGGACCAAGTCACCTTTTAACATCTTCCAAGTGCTTTTTTTTTTTTTTTTTTTTTTTAGAATCTTGCCTAAAGTTCTGTTTCTTCAGTAATTGAGCTATAATCAATCATGGCTCTTTTCCCAATCCTTTCCAGTTGTTTCAGCTTCTTCCTTCAAAAATGCAGGCATGAGCTGGACACAGTATTTCAGCATTGCTTCTGCTGTTGTTACATGTATTCACAAACTAATAACTAGCTCCTTGAAGTCTGTTTGCTTTTCCTGCCCATGTGCCAAGACTTGCTCACCCTTCACCTCCTGCTGTCTGCAGTGCTCTCCTGGGAGCAGTAGGTCACTTGAAAGCAGAGTAAGACCCCTTTATTCAAATTAGTTTCACAGATGCCCATCATCCAGAAGGTTGTGGATATCCAGCAGATAACAGTCCTGTTTTTTCCTAGCATCTTTTCTGACCAAATCAATTTTTTTGTTGTTTCTTTGTGAATTTAGGTAGCTGAAGAAAGGGAAGGTATTTAGGCTTAATCACTGTTTTTATGAAAACGAAGAAATAATGTAGCTTTTCCACAAAACTTGTCTTTAACAGTTTTGTCAGCTTTAAAACTTCAGGGGCATTTAAGCTCAGGTGTCCCAAAATATTAGGACAAATAGATGGGCAATGGAAGTGGATGGAAAATAAACAAATTCATTTCATTTAAATGCACACTGCTTAGTCATTTTTGGCCTACTGGTTGCTAATTTGGAAACGAAGTATGGAAGAAAGTGTTCAGGAATTTTCTTTCCCCTGGGAGTACGGAGCTTGTAAATAGTCCTGTGACTTCATGTTGGCAGTTTACTGACTTTAACTCCTTCCATTTGCAGAGTGTGGCTAAGATCTTTCAGATTGCTATGGAAAGGCAGTCTAGAGGATTTCTGGCCATGGAGGCTGCCTCCAGTCATGTTGGTAGTTAAGGCTGCGAAGGAGCACTGTAGTACTATAGTCCCATATTTTCTGCAGATAAAGCAGAGAGACTTGACCTGAAAAGGCTTCACAGTTTTTCTGTATTTCAAATGATTTTAAGGTTGTTCATAATCTTCTTATATACAGAACTGTCATTTGGCATTAGCAGCATTACTTTTTTTCCTCTAGTTTGGTAATTCAGTTGTTCACTTCCGCAATAAAAAACATCTTTTAGAAATGGTCTACTTTTCTATGCTAATTACAGCACTGAATACTTTCTGGGAATTACAGCAGCAGCCAGCTTGTTAGTATATGAGATATGCATAGCTTTACTCATACTGATTATGTTCAGTGGAGGGTTCTTCAGTTTATCTTGCTGTTCCAGTATGAACTTCCTATGCTAGCAGAAAATGCCCAGATCCTTGGCCTTTATTGAGGAGAGTTCTGTCTTTTGATGTTTTCAATGTAGTGCTTCAAAATACACAAACAAAAGAAAATTCAACAACTATTAAGAATGATCTGGTTTCAGTTCAGGTCGCTGACTGATGCAGATTTTAACTTTTCATCGCTGCAGATAAGCAGATCATCAGAGAAACCTAATGTGTTACATATGTGAAACAAACAGCTCAGCAGGATGACTATAAAGGAGGAGAACTATAGTTATGATTGACATATCTACACTCACTGAACAGTATTTCATATTCTAATTAGTTCATACTTGGCTATAGCTAAAATTATTCGTGCACGTGTCCGTTGACTGCCTTCCAAATCCCACTTGCAGAGAGTTTAAGGTAGGTAAGGGCAATCTTATTCAAAAGCTTTAAGGGTGAAATTTCTGAAGGCTTTTATCCAATGAAAATTCAAGTCGTGTATTTCTAGGCTGGCAGCATTCAGTACCATTTCTGTTAAAAGTCACGAGGCATTTTTACAATCCAATTCCAAATACCTACCTGTTAACGAGTTGGTCTGATTTCAGTAGTGCTGTTCATTTAGGAGAGTTGAAGACATTCCTCAACTAGTATTTTTGTGTTCCTTGTGACACCTTTTTGCATCGTTTGTTTTCTTTTTAGTAACTTCCCATATATTGTCTCAAATAAAAGCCAAACCTCCAGTCTATGTGTTCAGTTTGTAATTTTCTGAATGAATACAACTAGTGTAGTTGCCTGAATCTAAAGAATAAAATAAGGCACGCTTTTTCCATGTTAATGTGGGGCTGGGTTCCTCATTGCAAAGTGAGCTGGGACAGGGAGAGGTGGATGCTGGGACAGTGTCAGCATACAAGTGTCTACAACAGTTCTTCAGCTAGGGTTTTCACAGCTGTTTGTTCTTTGTGTGTTTGGGTTTTTTTTCCCCTTTTCTTCCCTTGTTCTATTTACCCAAATCACCTCTGAATTAACGTCTAGTTAGGTAGCTGGTTTTCACACCTGCAGTGTTGTAGCGTACCCCAATAGCTGCTCCAGTGTGATCCAGACCTTGTGTGACACATCTTGGTTGTGTTTCCATGATTGAGAAGGGTCAAGTGAGCAGGAGAAGTGTAAAACACTGGGAATGTTGGGACCACTTGGGTTACTCTTTTTCTCTTGAGTAACACAAGTCTATGTGGCTATTCCAGTAGTGAATCATCAGTGAATCAACAGTTTTTGAAAAACGTATCATGTCTGTTCTTACACAGTCAGCATAAGTATTTAAATGCTCGCAACATAGTTTTTCTGCCAAATATGCACAGGTCACTGGGATGTAAGATGGTCTGTGTATTTTTTTTGTTGGTCCTGACTCTTGTTCCTTGGCCACCTCCTATCCCCTAATTCTTCTGGTCGATGAAGGCTGAGAAACAGTGTTGTTGAAAACTTCCTCTGTAGTTCCTAGAAGGTAGAAGGTTACTTTTCCAGTTTATTATCTTATTCATCCTGTGGAAGCACACCTCTTCCAGGTCCTGAAGAGAGACTGACTGACCTGCTTTCTTCTTCCCCCGCTTCTGGTGGTGGAGTCCAGCCCCTCTCTGGTTCTGGTACTCATGTGACCCTCCTGCCTCCCCACACATCCTTTTCTTCGCTTTCTAGCTGATGCAGCCCACTGGCCCTGTAGTATGTTTTTTTCTTCAGTTGGCTCCCCCACTATGGCAGCATTAGATCAACTTAGCTCCTAGAATCCCATCCCTCAGTCTACTTCTGGTACGTTTTCAGTATCAGGAACTAAGGGTGGTGTGTAATGGCTGGGCTGGCTGTGCCATCAGGTGTTACCCCATTGTGCCAGGGAGTCCTTTGTTGGCTGATGAGCTGAAGAACCTGGTCAAAGGAGATGCCAAGCGATTTCTAGAGGCACTGCAAACTCTATTCCCCTTGTACAGTCAGGCATAATAATTTTCTCAGTGAATATAACCGGTATAGTTGCCTGAATCTAAAGAATAAAGTAAGGCACGCTTTTTCCATGTTAATATGCAGCTGGGTTGTACTTGTAGCGCTGCAGAAGATGGGAGGTGTTAATTTTGCTACCTGTAAATGATGTAACATCCCTGCAAAGTAGACAATAAACTGGGAAAGATTCAATTTTGTCCAAAGGAATGAGGTTAAAAGGCTGGATTTTTGATCAGAAGAATGTTACATAGTAGCTGCTAGAAAATGGATTCTTCATCCTATGTTCCATACTGGAACAATAAATAATTTGTTTCATCTGTAAGCTTAATAAGCTGTCTGCTAGTTTAGTCTTTTAAGTATGTTGTGCTGACAATCCAAATGTCATCTGTCAGAAAACAGACTGTTGCTGAACCTGCCTTTGATACTCAGCCCGAGAAAGGTCTTTGCAGTCACTTCCATTTCTGCGTAGGGACATAATACAGGATACCAGGCGTTTCCAGAGAAGCTTGTGTCTAGCCTGTCCCTTTTTTGTTTGCTGTGAATGTGAGAGGCTGATATTAGTGTGACTTTAAATCTAGTTTTTCTAGCAGCTGTCCATGTGTTTTCTGCTTGATACGTTTTTTTTTTGATCCACACCACAGCTTGACATGTTCAAAATTTAATCAAAGGTTTTTAAAAAAGTTTCCCAGGAGGAAGGGATCACAAAAAAAAAGGCGCACACCTTTCCTGTGTCCTATAATCTTCAGACAGATTTTTTAATAGAAACAACTGGCATTCAAGATATAAGCAATCTTAAAGTCATTGGTTTCTTAAAATTCCTTTTCTAGTCAAAAACCTTACTACATTCATATCCGCTTACAGCAGTACTTTCCTGCACTGCTGAAAGGGGGCGTATCTGTACTGTGACTCCAAATTGGGATTGGCCCGTAAAAATTGCTGTCAATATAATGCAACGTAAAAGAACAGAATTTTACTTTTCTTTATAAGACCACAAATTAAACATAACAAAAACAGTCACAAATTTGTTTCATGTTTGTGAAGTGATCTCCTCGGGTCTTTTGTTTCTTTAATGGTAGTTTATATTGCATTTTACCAAAATATTTGGGGTTACTACAATACAATGCATCAAGTAATCATTTTTATTGTTTCCAGTTAGGATGGGGGATAATGAAAATATAATACTTAAAAATTATCATTCTAATTTTAACTTTCCCAATTTCCCTCACCTTTAGGAATTTTTTGAAAATTATCCTGATAAATTTAACTGAGTTTTAATTTAATTGGATTTTATTCTATCGTAAATTGAAACAAGAAATGTATTAAGGCTCCAACTGACAATTACATTATTTCAGAGTATCGCATTACCATGTGTTTAGAGAGTGTGGCAGTAGTGCTGTACATGAGTATATTCATGCACACAGCCTTGAATTGCAAAAAACAGGGGAAAATGCCATTTTTATTTCCTTCAGGGAGAAACTGAAGCACACTCCCTTGTATTCAGTGTTGGAGGATGTTCTTGGGCAATTAATGTGTCTCAGCTGATAACATGAATCCTGACTTGATGTTAAGTGAAAATTAACAGCATATTCGAAAAAGCGTATCAAATTCTAAAAATGAAACATCATGCAATTTTCTCAAACGGAAATATGCTTCTCCCTGCTCTTTGAGAGGGAGAGAGCCTGCACTAACAGTTCACTCTCGTTCTGAGCGCTTCCCCCAGTGTTTGCCCAGGTTTGCGTTTATAATTACACCAGTACAACTCTGTCATAAAAACTCGGTGCCTTCCTTGCTGAAGTTAATCATTTTTGTACAGGTGCAGTTCATCAAAGGCAAGGATTGAGACTGTGTGGTTGGTAAAGTCTCCTTAGAGCTGGGTATCTTCACAAGGGCTTTCAGAGCTCTGGCTGGTGTAAGATCACAGACACAATACCAAAAGGATGGATAAGTGGGAGAGAGGAGAACAGCACAATTACCAGTAATCATGACTGAAAACGAGCAAGATGGGTTCCAGAAACTGCAAATCTTTGCAATGGCAAAACCTGTTCCTAATTTTCTTGTTACTTACCGTGTAATGCAGGGAGGGAATAAATGACTTAGGAACCTAACAAATTTTCTAAAACAGGCTTCTCCTGCTGGCAGAAGCATTAGTTGTCTTTAATGTCTTATACAAAAGGCCAATGACAAATTGGCAGTAAATGGTTTTTGTTTATTCAGCACTGGTCTGGATTTAAATATATAGCACCGCATAATCAGAAAAGTGACATGGGAACTGGAAAATCTGCTGCATGTTTGTAACCATAGTTTTTCATGAGGATTTTGTGAGCTTTTTTGTTCTTACTAACTGAAAATTCCTTGAGGTTTTGTTAGTTGTACTGAATATGTATGTACAAGTAAAAATTATCAATGGTGTGAAGATCAAGAGATATAACTAATTCTTTTTTGCTTCCTTCTTCCTTCCTCTTCCTTTTTTCAGCATGGCATGACGCCTCTAATGCATGCAGCGTACAAAGGGAAAGTAGACATGTGCAGGTTGCTCTTGCGACATGGGGCTGATGTCAACTGCAATGAACATGAGCACGGATATACTGCCTTGATGTTTGCTGGACTTTCAGGTAACTTCTTACTACACTTAGCTTACTGGGGCTTTTTGACATTGATATGTACAGCTTGCCAAAAATGAATAATTTAAAGGAAAATGTTGACACCTTTCTATTATTCAGGTCTAGTGTTACTTACGTGAACTATGCAAATATGCCAAGACCAGTAGAATCATCAGGACAGTGAAATAGGATAGCTACTGTTTGGGCTTGGGATCTTTTTTGTATAAAAATTGACTTCGTTCAGTATTTCGAGGCATATGGTCTATCTGTACTTTGTCCTGTTTGTCTCAGATCTCAAAATTCAGTCTCCTGTGATGGTTTTCTTGTGCAGTGGGATACACTCTGTTTAATTGCACTGTGTACACTGAAAAAGATGTTGCACCATACTGCCTTTTTTAGGACTACAAATCAGTAGCTTTTAGTAATATTTGAAGCTTTTCAGATTAATCCAGTATTTTTCAAATTTTGCCTTTATCCTACGTTATTTTTGCAACTATCATGTGGGCTTTTAAAAATTTATTTAGTAAGTTTTAAAAACGTTTTCTCACATTAATTCTTCCTCTCCTCTTCCTTTATTTTTTCATTAGAATATAGCTGTATATATCTTCTCCTGTCTCATGTGGTGGTTTGCAGCTTTCCACTTGCTATTCTTTTTCCCTAATGAAAAGAACAATTATTTCCTTGAGTGAGGAAAAGACATTACACAAAAAAACGTTGTTCCTTCTGGGGAAAAGATTAGATTTGGGAATATTAGGTTATTTTAAGTATCTTCTTTACGAGGCCACTTACATCTTCCCAAAAAGGAGATTCTAGGAAAGTAAGATTTCTTAGCAGGTAGAGTTTAAACTCTGCCTTCTTTCATCATAAGTATAAAAAAAAAGAGAGGCATATGCACATACATGAACCTGAGCTGGATCATCAGATTGCTTTTCTGCTGAAACTTTGGTGAAAAGATTTGGGAAATTTCAGCATTCTGTGGCATTAGGCATTATCAGAGTTGCAGAAGATAGATGGGAACAAACTCTTAGAGGCTGTTAAGTGATTGCAGCTTTGTGGAAATTGCTGGATTTTTACTCTTTTCTCACAGCTGAGATTTTAACCTGTCATCTTGGGTTTGAATGCTTCTGAATGTTGACTTTAAGGTCCTTACCTGTGAGCGCAAAAGGTACATGACCACCCACTACTGACACAATGCCTTTGTTTTTAAATCAGAAACGTTCGTTTCCATCCACCACTCTGTCCTTTTTTTGTATTCGCTTTTCTTTACCTAGCATGTACACAAAAACTGATAAAGTGAGAACACCTTTGAAAGCAGAAGCAGCACGAGTGGTGACAAGTGTCCTTATTAGTCTCTGAAGGGCACCAATTAAGTCATCTAATCTTCCCATCAAACTGTAGCTTAATTTTACTTGGTATTTAGCCCAGTCTGAACACCCAGTTCCCGCTGTGGAAAAAGGAACAATCTGTTCTCTTCTCTATGCTCCTGCTACATAATAGTACTGAATTTCGTGTTTTTCTTAGAATAGCAAATGCGATAGTTGAACTGTCAAACTAGATTAGTAGAGTTTGCTTCTATAAGACTATCCAGAGGGACCAAGCTCTGGTGTAGTTAGATGTGTGTGACTCCCATAAGCTCCACGGGGAGCTGAATGTGTGTTATAGAGAGCAGGGTTACACCCTGCCTGAATTTAGTTTTCACTTTGATTTGACCCTCTGGAACCATTAATAAGGAGGCAGCACCATGCCCTTCTCTTAAACTAGTCTTAAAATAATGACATTTAAGAACATTCACATTTCCCCCAGTGTTATTCCTGGTCTTTAAGAAATTCGCTCCTTGTTTTTCTACAGCATAAAGAATTACAAGTTCTAGTTTGTTCTCTCTCATTCCCTATGTCTTCCCTCCAAATGCAGGAAACAAAGAAATCACCTGGATGATGTTAGAGGCTGGAGCAGAGACTGATGTTGTCAACTCGGTGGGAAGGACAGCAGCTCAGATGGCTGCTTTTGTGGGTAAGGTGAAAGTCTATTATCATTTCCTAAATTCCTAAAGAAGTAAAACGTTAGATTCTGATGCTTTTTGTTGGAGAAACATTATTTAATGACCTGTTCTGAACTGACACAGTTGTTCAGCTTTTTTTCCACATCTCATTCTGTAGCAGAGTCAATTTGTGAAAACGCTTTATTTCATAAAAGCACAAATGATCTTATCTGTGAGAATAGACGCTGCTGTTCTCCAAGCATGCAAGTTTTTGCAATGTCTTCGCTTTTCAAATGGTAAGAGGAAGCTGGTCACACCTGAGGTGTCTGATGTGCAGGTGTGTGCTTCTGCAGGAGAAAGTGCATAATTAGAGCTTCCTCTGTAGGAAGGACCAAACGTAGCGCTAGGAGTCAGGAACTCGCACCTGAGCTTCGCCAGGAGCATGCTGCATGCCACAGTGAGTCACCTCCTGCCCTTCTCCCTCTGCAGTTGGGAAAGGGAGAAGTCTCAGAACCTGTTCTGAGGTAGTCAGTACTTAGTGACCTAAACTTGACTGGAACAAGATAAAAGATTTGAAGATTGTCATTCCAGTGTGCTGTGTGATCCTGGGAAAAACATGCAGCCAAACTTTTTTCTGTTGTTATATTTCTTTTTCTTTTTTTTTTTTTTTAAACTCTTTTTACTTCTGTACCCACGTTGACAGTGCTGGGAGATTCCTGGATTAACGTTCCCAAATATACCACTTTTTCTCTATTTCTGCAAGGATGTGTGATAGAATATTACCAGAAAAAGTGGAGTCATTTTAATAACTTGGCTATTGCTGTCCAGATGACCTACTCAACAACCAAAAATGAGGACCTGTGTTTTCACTTCAACGCAGCCTTCTTGTATTGTTTAAATGTCTGAGAACTCCCTTGCCAGTCCATTAGGTGTTCTGGATTCAAGAGCCTACCGTACCATTTAGATTTACTGCCTTGAATAGTGAGTTAGTGCAGTTTCAATTTCAATCGTATGTCATTCTGGTCTTTTAAAGAGAAAAAGATTGACATTGCTCACTTGAGGTTCAAGCAGCAAAACCTTATGTCAGAGAAGTCCACTCCTATTAATTATACTTTGGATTTGGAGAGTCTTCTCTAATGTGATGCTGAATTGAGTTATTAGTGAACGGGGAATGTTATCTCCAACATAATTTTGGAGATTTCTTGTTTAAAATCTCATCACATCACCAAGATAGAATAAATAATTTCAGGCATACTGAGATACGCGACTCTGTGAAAGTCTGAACATTGGAATCCATTCCTGTTCTTTTTTATTCTCTGTCCAATCAACATTAACTCATCTGTCAGTGTGTAGGAAGTGAGGATACTTCTTCCCCTGTCGTTTGTCTTACACTGTGCTCTATTAGCTTAGAACAGTCTCTTCCGAAACTGTGGAAAGTTTTAAATGCTGGAATTTGGTTGGCTGTGTTGTCTTCTGCCGATTAATAGGGTTAGTGCCAAGATAAATCAATTTAAAGAATGTGGTCCTGAACTAGAGAAGCTAAATTTTACTCTCTCTTTAGGCAAGTAATCCATCATATTGTCAGATGTAGAAAAGAAGAAGGGAGTGTAACTACTCTCATCTTGTTACTTTCATCAGGGTCGGGGTTTTTTTTGGTAAATTTTAAGCATGTTCTGTTCTTATAATTTCTCCCACTTTAGGTTAACACATCACTATCTGCTTCAGGTCTGAAAACTTACAAGTCCCAATGCAAATGTCATTAATTTTTGAAACTACAAAGGGGAGAGAACTTCTCCTGAAAAATTTTAGCATCAGTATGACACTACTAGTATAGTATAACTTTGGGGAGAAATACCTATTATCTTAGTTTTGGCTTACCAGGGAGAGAGGGTGCAGGAGGGGGACACAGTTCTCAGAATGAAATTCCATGGAGTCCTTTGCTGCTGGGAGTCAGTAAGTTGCACTTACTGAACATAAAAGTGGCCCTTACTGAATGTAAAAGAATGGCCAGAGTTGCCTGTTACCAGTGCAAAGCATACCACGCTAAGCTCCTTTGTGGGTAATTCTCACCTGTATTGCTTATAGATTTGGAGTTGGGTCTTTTTTATTTTGGTTATTACTTCATTTCATTGGTGATTTTTTTTTTTCTTGTGTGCCTTTAGGTCAACATGACTGCGTCACCGTCATCAACAACTTCTTTCCACGTGAAAGGCTGGACTACTATACTAAACCACAAGGCTTGGATAAAGAACCAAAACTGCCAGTAAAATTAGCTGGGCCTCTACATAAAATTATTACTACTACTAACATGCATCCTGTAAAGGTAGAGTGTTTGTTGGCATGGGAACTGTT